ATATATATAATATAAGCAAAAACAATAATTGTAATACTAACAACAAAATCAATAATAATAGTGAGATTGAATTTCCGTATTTTGGAAAATAAGAGAGTGACTTCACTTTTAAGTCAATGATACAAATAGCAACAAAAATGGAAATAAACTAGCAGACTGATTCAGGTTTTAGATGGACTGTCATAATAAAGCCACATGATGTCTTTGATGTGAAAAGTTCAGAGAAAGAGAGAGCTACTTAACAATTCAAGTGGACACAAACTAAACTGAAATATATCTTTATGAGAACAAACAGGAATGCATACCTTAGTTGTTTGAAAATCTTGTCGATCATCGCGTGCTCCAGGACATGATGATGGTCTGCAGCTCCTCAGTACAGCATAATTTTCAGGATTGCGCTGCAGCTTCAGTGCCTCTGGAATCAATTTTAAGTTGCAGGCAAAGCAATGCACTAAGAATTCATAATTATCTTAAAAGGCAAACTTACTGAGCAACTGGATATCTGCTCCTGCAAGAAGCTGGTAGAAAATATGAAAATTGCGCTCTCCTGCAGCTTGTCCCGTCACTCGAGACTGCAACATAAATGCTAAGTCATGCCAGTGAGACTTAATGAAAACACTGCGTAGAAGAAAACATTACTTGAAAATATTTCCCAATATTTGTTAACAAATTGAGTAAAGATATACGAGACAAAACTGAATTGTTAATAGACCATTTATGTTGTTGAATTAAAAAATTCTAATTTTATCTAAGTTGCATGTCAGCATTTAAAACTTTTATAATTTTCTCTTCTTAAAAAAAAAAAGAAAAAGAAAAAAGAGGTTTGATAATGAGAATCACAAAAGTAATTTAAAACTTGTAACATGCAAGGTACTTTAAATTAAAATTCAAGTTGATACGGCTGGCTTTTCTTTAGAGCGATTTTCCATGATCATGCCATTGTGAAACTCCTAATAATATACAGATTAGTACATTCAGAGGTACTTACCTTCTCCAGGAGGTCTAGAACAGAGGAAAACACTCCATGATAGCATGAGGAACTTGTCAATGCTGGGTACATATACACAGTTGTTTGGGTGAGTACATGGTATTTTCACTACTCACAATGGGTGATAGTGCCTCCAAGCGGGTCTCCCTTGAAGTCAAACTCCACATCCAGGTATTTGCCCTGTGCACAATACAAATCATACAACAAATACAATGCTGTTCAGTTTTAAATTGTTTATTTAATTAAAAATAAAAAAAGAAATGTTTAAAACTTATTTGAATATATCAGATGCAATAGGCTTACTTTTCCAATTTTAAATGACAATGGAACAGACAAGGGAAAAATCTTCAATGAAAAATTATACACGAGCCAGATAACTTATCAAAAAGTTCTTTTATTAAAGCCGTCAGACGATGGTTTCTATTTAACATTGCATTAGCTTCAGACATTTTAAAGCACCCAAAATTAATTTTTACCCTCCATTCTATAACTTTCATGTCCCAATATTGTTTTTATAATGAGCTTGGCTGTCACTCAACTAAATGAAAGATTGCTAGGAGAATTGGCTGTCAGTTCTGCAATCATTCATCCCCATATTCAATAGAAAATTTAATTTTGAAGAAACAAACTGCTAACTGTAATTATTCCGATTTTCATAAAAGGTACTTACAAATCTGGAGGAGTTGTCATTTCTTTGAGTCTTGGCATTTCCAAATGCTACAATAGAAATAAATATTTTTAGAATATTTTGTCTTTAGAAATAAGAGAAAATATTATTTATCTCAATTTGTCAATTAGTAACAGTAATTTAATAACAGAAATAAAAAATACATAATTTAACAGACACGCTTCAATACATACATCCCAAAATTTCTCTTTGATCAATAAATTCAATTTATTACAAAGAAAATTATAGAACGGGTTCATCATGATATTGAACAAAATCTTTCATAATTTATCCTTAATTCCAGACCAAATAATGATAATTTTATTACTGAAGACATATCCAAACTTCTTCAACATTTTCCAATTTATTGTGAAACAATATTAAAGTATGAATTTGTTAATTTTTTTTGCTGCAGATCACACAAAATTGGAGTTGTTTCATCATGAATTTTAACAAAATTAAATAGCTGTTTCTACATAACTAAATCACAATTAAGGAAATTTTTATATTACCTCCACAAAAAATGTACGTTTAAGGATAAAGTCTAATTTTATATTGTAGTTCAAACTACAATAAATGCATTTAAGTAAAATATTTGCAATATAAATTTCTTTATGTATTAAAATTCTTTCATCTGCAATATTCATCTCAATAGTATGTTAATATTTCATTTCTTTTATTGGATTAGAATTCAATTAGAAATATATCTACTAACCAAGGTTAATTGAAATTATGTCTAACCTTGTTAAGAATCAATAGTAAACAAGATCTTCATTTCAAGTTTACTTGGTATTAAAATCACTCTTCTGACTCAGAAGAAAATAAAACTACTGTAATCTTTGAATCAATTCATTTTAAAAAGAATAAAACAAAAGGGGAAAGGAATAAGGTCAGGGAGAAATGCAGTAGTACTTTCTTTCTTTTGCATATGTTCAAACAAAGAATGAGGGCTAAACAGGCAGTGCACAATAAAGTGCATTAACCAGTGAAGGTGGATGATTAAAGGAAGGGGAACGTGGGCAGATGAGGTAGTAAAAGATGGGGAGGGTAAAAGAACCAGGGACAGGGACATGGCAAGGCTTGAAAGAGGACAAAGATACGACCTGAAAGAACTACCAGGAGACCACTGGGGGTACATATAGGTTGATGGGGTAGTTGGTGTGGATTGGAATGGATTGAAGTTGGCTGGGGTAGATTCTGGTGGGTTGGTGAGGATTGGGGTGCATTGGGGTGGGGTAGAGTGGGATGAGGTGGGGTAGGGTGAGGTGGGATGGGATGGAATGGGGTGAGAGGATGGGACGAAATGGGGTGGGTGGTGAGGAGGGTAAGGGGGTGTGTGGTGTGGTGTGGTGTGGGGGTGGGGTGGTGTGAGTTGAGAGAGGAGGGGGAGGAGAGAGGCCCGAGGACGCTGGCTCACCTTCAAGCACGGGCCCGGCGTGCAATAGGCGTGGTGCGGCACCGGGGGGCGGGTCGGAGGCTGCGCCCGACGCCAGGAAGTGCAACAGCACGCGCCCGGCCTCCGTTTTGCCTGCGCCGCTCTCGCCCGACAGCACCAGCGCTTGGTCCTGGCCGCGGTCGCGCAGGAAACGGCGCGCCGCCCCGGCTACGGCGTACCTGCATCAGCGTCCGCGCCGCCTCCGTCAGCTCTCTGGCGAGCTTTCTCCCGTTTCTCCCCTGCGCTCTTCCAAGCAGCGACAAGCACATCAACTTTACCACTACCAAAACTAGTCTTGCATATTGGAATGTGCCGTGCGTGAATATTAAGGATTTTATGCTGCCTTATTCTCGAGTTCCTACCAGTTCAATTTGTGTGTTGTTCGTTTGTTTTCAAAAAATCATTTGCAAATCTAATGCTTAAAACCTAACGATCACGGTGAGATTGACTTCTAAACAACGTTTCAGAAGCTGGTTTGATACATATCCACAACATTACACCATTATTTTGACATTATATCATACAACTTGTATACCAACATTACCAAAAATATGCGTGTTTGACAATAATAATAATAATAATAATAATAATAATAATAATAATAATAATAATAATAATAATAATAATATTTATTCAGTTACATATACAATTACAAGCGTGTATGACGGGTCAAATGTGATATATTTAGAGGGAATACACCATCTTGTGAGCAGCGAAGTTACAATTATTTATCATTTTTGTGTCATTACTCACAAGTTATCCCAGTATTAAACGCGAGGAAAACTGCTATTTTATAGCAACTGATTCATACTCTTGCTCCTGACGAACACATTCTTAGGGAACTGAGAATAAAAAATATCTGCCACTAGAAGTACGAACGCATGAATTTCAATAATTCGTGATATTCTGTAATAATTTTTTCAGCAAGTATATTTAGTTGGCGAAATAGCGAACAATTTATTGCTCCAAGAGAAAGATCATAAACTGGCAAAACTATACTTTTGATTAAAAATATTTTGTAGCTGATTATAATTATTATAACAACAATAGGATATCATGCAACTAGTGTATGATGTTTAACTTTTTAGCACACGACTTGGCGAATGAGGTCTTTAAGAGTGACTTCTTAATTCACCTGAGTACAAGCGCGGTGCATATGCTATTTTTACTTTCTCGAAAGCATAAAATATTGTAATAATGCAAAAAGTCGTTACAGCGATTCGAGATTTTGACGGAAATACACATTTTGGGGGTTTCTGATGCCGAAAAGGTGTTTTTTAAACGTCTTTCTGTCCCTCCATCTATCCAAGATTAGCGCACACAAAATGTTCACCAAAATTGATATTCCCTGATCAATCTGGCCGCACTAAAGACATCACGAACTTGAAATGGATTTTTTCAATTTTAGGGTTCTTCCCAGTCCCATTTTTCTTTAAATTTGTTTCCCTAACGATTTTCATTAACCCATCAGAATTACCAAAAATTGAAAAAGTTAAACATTTTATGGACAGCCTTCTAACATTAAATTATTGAAGAAAGAGATTAATAAAATCTGTTCTTCAAAATTATCAATAATAAAAAAATCAATAGTAGCAAGTCATTTTAATTTAAACTTTTGAATTAAAAAGAAAAGGTAAGCTCTGTTTTCGAACCACTTGTGGTTCGTTTGGTTAGGAGCTTTTCACGTAATGTGTAATATATTAGTAGGATAGAAGTTGCAATATTACATAAGCTCTATCAATAATATGAAAAAGTATGTACACTGTAGGAGCACTAATTTTTATGGCATCATTATAAATTTATTAAGACACCAAAATAATTTTGAGACCCTCAACTACTTGAGGCATGTGGCGTCACTTTATATATTTGCCATGCGTTTGTTTACTTGTGTTGATCCAGTTGCTGCAATTAATTGTTTCGAGAATAGATTTAATGACGATCTTCCACAAAAAAAATTGTATAATTAATCTCAAGAAAAATTATGACCTTGAATAATTAATACGAGTACACGCCCTTTCAAGTTGGATGAAAATAAAATGCTACATAGAATATTATCGGCGAGACGATTGTACTTACATAAACACATATCACAACTGGTTGGTTAATCATATCCAATACTAGTCGTAGAGTTACTAAATATAGTGCTTTATAATTGATTGATAAATGTGATGTCGTATATTTTGGGTCTTTGTCATCATTCATTTACTCCGTTCGTTAATACGAGTGATGGGGCTATTATTAACATACTAGTATCATTCTATTCTTGAGTGCAAACGCGTCACGTGACAGGTACGTCAACCATGACTTCATCATTCACGCAGGAAAGCTATGGCACAATAATTTGCGCATTAAAAAGCCAGTACACGAACAATTAGGTACACTTAGAAAACTCATTTATAAAGACAATACAACAAATTGTGTTTGGTGCCACAAGTTCAAGGGTTCTTAATTTTAATTTTTAAATCAAACGATAAATTACCCTTTAACACATTTTTACAGCTTTAATTTTTCCTGTTTTGATTGACAGAAGTTTCGATGAGCTGAAACAGAATTTAAAAACATTCGCCACAACGTATTAACCATGGTTAGAATTAAATAATAATAATAATAATATAATAATAATAATAATAATAATAATAATACTTAAAACTCGTGTTTGGAAAATATGTAGTTCTTATGTTGCCCGTTTATTGATTGGAAAGTGTTACTTTGCGGTACGTTTACAGCAAAGTGGCATTTTACAGGACGCAAAGTAAACAAAACATTGGGGCAAAATGAAGGAACACGTACCTACTGCCATTTCTCATATTGTGAATTATTTCATGACTACGTAATTGTAATTTTAAGGACTTCTACTGAAAAGAATGCATGTAACATGTACGAATGTGCCTTGCGTAGTTATTTCAACATTTCATTCATACGCCAAAGACTCAGATATAAGAAATGGCATATTTTAAGGATTAAAAAACGGAATTGATGTAAAAATTTCGGAGGAAAGCAATACTTACTCAATCGCGTATATTAATAATACATTTCTTATTAGCTATAACTTTTAAACGTATTTATAGGTAATCTCGTGAGGTCAATATTGAATTAATATATTATATCAATGATCTATGCAAACTTTTATTCCGCAAATGCAATGCATTTTAAATTTGTATTTCACTTCAGTGAAAGCGATGCGTACTCCCCAATCTCTTGCGAAACGGCGAGGACTAGTCCAAAAAGGGGTCAGGGGTGAAAGGGACGAGGCCCGTAAGGAGCTTTGGCCCCGCGGCGGTGACGTGTACACACGGGCGGGGCGGGGCGGGGCGCCTAGGTCTTCGGCGCGGGCGGTGGCGCTG